ACAGACAAGATGCACTACCTCTATCGGGCCAGATAGCCCAAGGTCATGGGCGAAGTGAATACCCAGTTTATCAGTTCCTGTAAGCCAGATAAAACCCCTTCCTCCAAAAGTTGGTTTTGATCAGTATTTTATCACAGTAACAGAAAGCTAACAAGGACAATGGCCTAAACTGTCCACAATCAAGGTGAGATGTCTCTTTTTTTGTTTGTTTTTTTGTTTTTTTTGTTTTTGGTTTTAGGAGACAGGGTGTCTCTGTATTGTTTTGGAGGCGGCCGGTCCAGCCTGGCCTCGAACTCATGGAGATCTGCCTGCCTCTGCCTCCCGAGTGCTGGGATTAAAGGCGTGTGCCACCACCGCCCATGAGATGTCTCTTATCAGTTCAACTTCTATGGGAATACCCTCAGAGATATACCCAGAGGTGTAGGGAGAGATCTTACATACCTGTAGCACTGACCACGCCCATTTGGGAGGGGTCAGAGGTACATAGAACATATGTTCAGGGGATAAAAGAGCTAGGGAGAAGGAGACAGACATGCTCTCTTTTGGTTGAGTCTCAGAGAGCGTCGAGCAGACCTTTCGTTCTCGGCTTTCTTGGCTTCTCATGTAAGTGACTTCTCCCTCAATAAAGTATCATATGACATTCCTGCTTTGTGTAACTTAATATTTCCATGATACAGAGGTGAGTCTTGTATGGAATTCCAAATCCAGCCAAGTTGATAATGAATATTAGCCATCATTGGGAGATAGGTACCTCTGCCTTTGGAGTCTTCCAGGCAGAAGTCTTTTGCTTTTGTGTAGCTTCATGCATGGTTATTTTAACTGGGCAATTTTCTGTTAGTCCAGCCCGCTGCTGGGAAAAACTGTGGCTTTGTATTTAGTCCCCACCCCCAGATACTTAGGATTTACTTGAGGAAATGACACACAGGCATTTGCAACAAGCACTGGAAGATTGAATTGTAAAATCAATCAGTGCTAGAGACAGTAAATCTAGGAGGACTTTAGAGGATCGGTAGATGCTGTGAAGGGAAAGAGAGTAGACAATAATGGGGCATAAGGGTGTTGGTCATGACCTTTGAAGAACAGGCAGATCCTGGCTAGGCTGTGAGAACGGAGTGTCTTAGCAAAGCACCAATAAGGAATTACAGCATGGACCTAGACATCAATGTGGCTACCGGTTGCCTGACGGGAGAATCCAGGGAGAATGCAGTGAGTCTGCTTGGGAGACACTACTTTCAGACACCGAATTGATTGATTTTCTTGTTGCTATGACAAAATACCTGACACAAGCAACTTATACACTTAAAGGAAGAAGGAAAGAAGGGGAAGAAGGAAAGGCAGGAAGTGGTTTTTGGTCCCTGAAAGATCAGACAAGGAAGAACCTTTCTTTCAATGACCATTGCATTAAATGTATCTCCATTTTGGTATTCATTTCACATGGACAGAGATGCCTTCAATCACGCCAATCAAATCTTAATATCGATTAGTCTGTAGCAGTGGGATTTGCAGTGATTTTTAAAACTTTTTTCTTGTTTCGTTTTCAATTTCTCAGTTTAAAGGTGAGTAAAAATATGAGCATAATTATTTTGATAAAAGTTTAAATGGAATCTGTCAGAAACATGACAGGAACATGGGAGAAGGGATATTTAAGAGATCAAGGAAATGAACTTTTCTGATGAGCTGATTAGAAACAACCCCAAACCTACACTGTATGTCATCACTGTGCACAGCCACTACCTGTGGTACTTACCTAGCATCAGGGATGGCATTGAGGGGACTCACACAATCTCCCAATGTCCATATTAGTTACTTTTCTCATTGTCTTGATTAAAAAAAAAGACCCGAGGAAAAAACTTATAGAGTAGAGATTTATTTTGGTTCCTGGTTTCAGAGATTTCTGTCAAGGACCATTTGGTTTCATGGCCAACAGGAAGCAGAGAGAAGGGGGAGTGACAAGTCTGTTTGTGCCCCACCAGTGTAAGGATGGTGATGCCTTTTCCTAGGGAGGGTCTTCTTACCTCAGTGAATCCTCTCTGGAGACACTTTGACAGTCAAGTCCAGAGTGTGCCTCACCAACCTACTAGATGATCCTAAGTCCAGTCAAACTGAGAATGACGATTAAAGATCATACTTCTTACCCTAGATATAATATTTTGGGTGTTGGAGTTGACCATTGCTTGTCAATTCATTCTCTGGTGTCTTTGTACTCTTCCATACTCCCAGGGTGAATCCTGATTGGTCTAAGCCAGTCTTGCTTAGGTCATTACTCTGGCCAGTGATTAGTTAATCATAAAAACTGTGATACAGTTCTGGCCAGTTACATATGAAAGGGAGATGGTCATGAGGTGACCTTCTATGAAAGAATTTTAGGATTTTCAAAAGAAATAGCAAAGAAACTCTCCATATTTCTCTCTCTCTAATGTTATTGCATAATAATACAAGTCTCAGAGCTATTTATAGTCATCTTGTGACTGTAAAACAATATGCCTGAAACCAAAAGCAACCTTGCTGGGCATGAAAGAGCAGAAAGAAGGAAAAGAGTGGGCTTTTGATGACATGACCTTGGTTTAGTCACCCATTGACACTAGAATAAGAAAATACATGCCAGAGAGCCTAACGCTTGCTTCAACAGAAAGCATCCCAACAGATGCATGGAGTAGAAATCATGATGACATGTATATCAGTCCCTCTGTAAGAGCAGAAAGGTTCATAGTTCTTTTCCTACAATGAAAACACACACACATGTGCATAATAGTTCGGGTAAGATTAGCAAAAGTGTCAGATTTGTTCCAGTTCCATGAGTTGCATTCCAGAAGGCTGACATTTATGGAAATCCTATTCTTTGTAAAGCCTTCCACCTCCCTAGTCCCCATAACAACTGGAGGACTCCTCATCAGATGAGGGAGTGGAGCAAAAGGATTTCAAGACCAGTTCAATAGCTCAGAAGTGAAGCCAGGTCACTGATCGCTCACTAACTAGCTCTGGTTTCCAGCTGTCAAAACTGTGTGTCATGTGCCCACAGCAATGTAGGAGCAATGGCAGAGCATCGATGCTTTTAGAAAATTCATGAAGGTGGATTCCAGGCTCTGTCTGTGTGAAGTCACTCATGAACTTTCAAGCCAATGTAGTGAAGGGAAAACGGTGGCAAGCAGTTGAGCTCCTAAGGAATTGTGTCCATCCCGGACCTACCTTACCTGGGCGGTGCTGCCCAGGGTGGGACTAAGCAGAAGACCAGACAAGTGAGGTGCTGTGGTTTGTGTATTCAATGTGTTTCCCTCTCCCGGGCCCAAGTGCTGAAGGCATCATTTCCCAGTGTGGCTGTAGGGAGGTGAGAGGCTTTAAACACTGCTGTCTCCTGAGAGGCCTTCTGGTCACTAGAAGGAAATACTGGAACTCCAATCTCCCCCTAATGGTTTTCCAGCTTCGAGAGAAGTCATTTTGCTCACCACACACTCGGCCATGATGTACTGTCATCCCTAGAGCTCCAGAGAACACTGCAGCCCTTGCTGTCCTCTTCCTCATGAGCCTTCAGTCCATGTTTTCCCCTCAGTCTGGGACACTGTCTTCACCTAGGGCAGGATTTCCTAGCTATAGCATTAGATTCTTGGGCCAGTGAATTCCTTGCCATGAGGCCTGGCTTCTGCATTGCTGAATATTCAGCAACACCTCAGCTTCTACCTGCTCCATTCCAGTCTCATCACTTCCCCTTATTGTGACAGCTAAAGCATGTCTAGGCATTGCCATGTGTTCTGTTCCCTGGAATTGGGGTGGAGATAAGGATGGGGGTGAAGCAGGAGGCGGGTGTTGGGAGACACATCACCCCTGCTTAAGACAGATTGCTTTAGGACCTGTGGGTCACAACTCCTTGGTAGTAGGGAGTCACCACAACATGATGGACTGTACTAAAGGGTTGCAGTATTAGGAAGGTTGGGAACCACTGCTTTAGAGTCAGCCCTTGGTACCTCACAGAGCTCCCTTTGCTTATTCTATTGCAGATGGCCTCCGACATAGGAAGTTAAGCTAGAGCCAGGCTGGAGGCAGACCCCTAAACTTCCAGGAAGCTAAACTGACACCTCCTTCTTATTGTGTCTTTCCAAAGATTTAGTTGATGCATTGCAACCTGGTCTCAGCAGCAGCCCCAAAGGTCAAGAGCAAGATAGAAGCAGCCACCCTTGGACCTAAAGGCTGTGCTCTCTCCTCTGACCTACCGAGTAAGGTCAACCTTGGGTGCCGAGACCTAAATCATCATGGCATATTCACAGAGAAAAAGAATCCAAGTTTCAAACTCCACCTCCATTGTCAAAAGACACACATTTGTTTTTATTTCATTTTCCTTTGGGGGGGTCAACGGTTTCCTTATAATGTTCTATAAGGAAGGGGCAAACAATGTGGCGATATTTTGTTTACGATCTAACAAATAAAGCTTACCTGAAGATCAGAGTGCAAAACTAGCCACGCTAGTCAGCCATACAGTCCAGGCGGTGGTGACACACGTCTTTAATTCCAGCAGCCACACTAGCTAACCACAGAGGCTGGACGGTGGTACTGCACGCCTTTAATCTCAGCTCTAGAGGGGACAGAAGGCAGGTGGAGGCAGGAGTACAGGTTTTCAGTCTGCAGTCTGAGGAGTCGTGCAGTCTGGAGATGCAATCAGAGGACACTATCGCCCCTTCGGTCTGAGCATTGGTAGCTCTAATGGCTGGCTGCTTTGCTTCTCTAGTCTTCAGCTTTAATGCCAATATCTGCCTCTGGGTTTTATTATTTGTACTACAGAACAATATGTGCCAGAACTTGGGAGTGCAATTGCTTGAGCATGTCCTGACACAGGTCAGGTTTGAACCTGACATCTAGTGTAGAGCTGAGCCGAGGGGAGAGGCAGAAAGTAGCTCTCAGCCACTGCATGGTCAGACAAGAACCCTTCTTTCAAAGACCATTGTCTTTCCACCCTCAGTTAAAAGCCTCTGCTGTTTGGTCACACTCTCTGTTACTACTGACGGAAGTTGCCCAGTTGCCATGGGCAGTTCTGATCCCGGAAACTGAAGGTACAGTTTCAACAATATCACTTTGAATTTAATATCCACAAGCAGACTCACTTGAGTTTCTACTTTTTTGTAGTGAAAAAGAATCCAAAGAGTAAGATGCATTAATACAAAGGTATTCAGACATAGGGTGTGCTGTGAAAGAAGGCTCAGAGAGAGACCCAAGAGTCAACAGAGAGGTGTTGACAGGTGACATGGGAACTGCAGAAGGTGAACATTAGAAAAATGAGAAACCACAGGGAAATGCCTGAAAAGATGTAAAAACAGACATGCAATCCCCATACATGGCTATTTGACATGGGGCTTCTTTGATGTTGTTAAAGTCCTGGTAATTCCATGTCATAGATGTTTTGAAGTGTGGGGAGGAAATGAGACCTGGCCTATTGGGTTAGACATTGAGATTGTGTTCATCATCTTTCCAGAAGCTCTTGCCCACATCTTTACTCCTGGCAGCTGCTGGGATTTCATTGTAGGAGTCAATTTCATCTTAGAAGCTTGTTTTCATTTTGTTAGTGATTGGTATGCAGATGGATCTGAGACTCTGTGTCACCAATGGGCTACAAGGTGTGATGATTAGTATTAGTTGTCAGTTTGATTGGGCTGGTAGGAAGTTAGTGGAGCATACCTCTGGGTGTTTCTGTGACTTTGTTTCCAGAGATGATTATATCATGAGGGCTCTGACCTAGTCAATGCATAATCCTTTTATTGACTCATAAGATGGTGGCATTATAGGAGGCAGGGCCTTTGGAAGAAGTCGGTCAGTGGATGTGTCTTTATGCTGTGGTCCCCCTTCTCCACCCTTGGCTGCTTTGGTGTGAGGTCACATGCTGTGCCAGACCTTCTTCTCCATGATTGACTGAGTCCTCTGAAACCATCAGCCAAAGTCCATCTTTCCTTCAGTAAGTTGATTCTGTTGGGTATTTGGTCAGTGTGAAGAGAAAAATAATGAATACACAAGGGGAAATTTACAGAGGACTTCCCCTCCTGGATCCAGAGAAAACCTAGGACATCACCATGATGATCTATGGTTTCTAATTCTCGCATTCAGAAGGCAGGGTGATTTCAGTTTTGAAGGCAGTCTGGATTAGATAGGCGGCCCTGATAACAAAGACACACAAACAACAACCAAAAGAAGGAGGAAGAACAAAGCTTTTGCCTTTTACCTCTACCTTTGCTTGCCTGCTGGGATGCCAGTAAGCTCTTAGGGTACATGGAGTGTTGTTAGCCAACTCTGGAGTCTGAGATGACAGACATTCCCATGGGAAATCAATACACAGAGCAGGAAAGTGGGAGATGTATTCTAGAGGACCAACCTTCCCTGAAGCCATGCCCCCTTAGACTCTTTATGGGGAAATAACGAATAATCTTTGTTCTTTTATGATATTGAAGGCAATCAAGCCTTGAGACTCGAGCATGCTAAACTATCAGTCTACCACTGAACTACACCCCCAGTCCAACAATGATTAATCTTTATGGCTTTCACTGTGTGTTGGGGAAAGTGTTTTCCTCATGATCTATCACAGGCTAAGAGAACAACCCACTTCTGTCTTATATGTTCCTATTTCTTATGTTTTTTAAAGTGTATTTTTGTTTTCAAAAACAAAAACAGTGTGGCATGTACTGTATGTACTACCTAATGATCAAATTAGAGTAATTAGCATATCTGTCCCCATAGATATTCAGCACTTCTTTGTGCTAGGAGCATTGAGGATCTGCTATACTAGCTGTTTTGAACTATCCATTAAGTGTCTCTAGAATGCTTCCTGTTTCTTTAAATGTGTTAAACTAAGTTCTTAAGAAATGACACATATTTTTTACATATCTGAAAAATCCAAAGAGCTAAGCAAAAGGTTACGGGAAAAAAATGCAGTTCCTTACAAAAATAACAGGCTACAACAATATTTGTTAGATATCATGAGAACGTCATTGGCTTTGAAAAACATTGTATGATGTCTGGCAGTGTTGATCTTGGATGTGGTTATCTCACTCTCTGCCCAATGTGTGGATTCCCACTGAGAGGAAGCCTCCTCCTTCCCCTCTTTCTGTTCCGATGATGCTAACAATCCCTTTATGACAGACACAGCGAAGAATGCATTTGGTTGAGAGACAAATGGGGGAATGCATTCAATTCCCATAAGGACTTATGAGTCACTCTAAAACACAAACTCCCTGCCTTGTGTCTGCAGTGATTTGCTCTCACCTGTTTCCAGGAGTGTGTGCTTTATGCCAACAGCAGCGGTCACCTCTGAGCGTCGGGCGCTGTTTGTCAATAGACGTTTGGTGGTAGGAGGTTTTGATCTGTGCCTTTTGATCCAGCTTGGTATTTTCATGTAGTTTAGATTAATGAAACATGAAGGAATTTCAGCATAATGCATGCATCCCGTTTTGCTCTTTGAGGACTTGTTAATTATGTGCATTATCTTCCTATAAGGAAACTAGAATCACTACTCAGCTCTGTGCTTTAACTTTTTGCCCAGAGATTCCGGTTGATTCTTTCTCTGTTGCTGCTGCTGCTGCTGGTTTCTTTTGAAAATTCTTGTAATAAAACAGGGACAAGAACTTAGTCTTTGCTGCTGCCAATAACAGAAAATTCTTCAGCCCCGCCCCATCCTTCATCATGGGGAAAAAGTGATGCTGGCAATGCCTGGGACTGAAGGCCATGCTGCCTGGCTTTGTGGGGACAGATGGTCATTGCTCATCATGTTAGCAAGAAGCTTGATGCTCACTTCTGGACATCAGCTGCTCTCTGTGTCTATTAAGTGATAATTTAGCTTCAGGTGGCACCTACCCTGGTGCTATCTGTTTGGTTTCCTGCTTTTATAATGGAAAATATTTGGACAGTGGCACTTACCTTGCTGTCTTTCACTCTGAAACAAAGGCTTTCAGTAGAACAACTAAGACAGCCCCCAAATAAGACTGCTTGTGACCCTGCTTTGCCAACAAGGTATTCTGAATTTAGAACCCCAAGAGACAATCTTGCAAGTTCTCTGAAACAGAATTCTTTTTATATATATATATATATATGACTTATATGGATTAACTAAATTAGTCTCCTCAGCACCGTATTTCCATTTAAGGACAATATAATTTAAGTACCGACATGGGAAAATGTCCAAGGATATAAGAAGCAAAGGGGAAGTAGCAGGACACTTTGCATAATATAGTAAGTATTGCCACAAAAATACGTTAACAAAAGGTAATATATTTGGTTCTTGTGTGCATTTCCTAGTAGATAACTGTGGATCCAGAGTCAAAATGAAGTGACATTCAGTTTCATGAAAAATTTTGAGAGACATTGAAAACATAAACAAAGCAGATACAACCTGTGAATATAAGGTAAGGGGAGCCCCAAGGCTGGGGCTGGGTGGAGCCGGTGGAGACAGCTGAGCAGCACAGTGTTTGTCTGAATATGACATTCGCTAAGAGATGGAACATTGCTTGGTTTAGGAAGAGTACTCACTCCCTTGATTGTTTTGTCTTCATTGACAAACTCTCTGCTTCTGAAGTGGCTTCAAGTTCTCTGGAGCAAATATGTCATTCATGTTAATTAATTAATATACATTAGTATGTAATCCTGTTCCTTTGGTATTGGTTAGAGATCAGAAACCTTTATTATCTTATTTATTTTTAGTCCTCTGATGTACCTAGAATATATAGCATAATAACAGAAAAATTATTAAGACAGGGTTACAGAACATCACAATGTAAGATAGTTTGGGGGGTGGACATCATGAAAGCTCATGCTTTCCCTAAAAAGAACAAGTTTATGTTAAAGTTCTCTGGTTAGTAGAGTAAAATGGGAAATGTGGTGAATTATGACATCAAAGGCACTAGTCTCTCTTTGATAATTTGCGTTTTATAGTAAATAAAGAATTCTATTTTCCCAAAAGATGTAAGTTTTCTTCCTGACAGGGTAATCAGAGAACATTCCTGATAATTGGATTTCATCACCATGACCAAGTACCCAAGGTAAGCATGTAATAAGGAAAGAAAGTTTTGCTTTGACTCATGGATGCAGAAGTTCAGCCCACGGTCATTTCCCCTCTTGCCTTGGCTCTGTGGTGGCATCACGGCAGTATGTCCTCCTCACAGTGTCGGGTAGGCAAAGGAGGAGGGAAGGACAGGATGTTCCTTCCACGCCTTCATGACCAACTTGCTTCAGTAGCTCCCACCCACCATACTCAGCCATGTGCCAATGGCACAACATGTGAGTCTGGGAGACATTTCTAAACTAGAGCAAGGTAACAGCCCTACCCTTGCAGGCTTCCGCTCCACTGTTCCTCATAGAAGGCATTTCTCCCAGAAGCACTCCACTCCTTGGTCTAGATCTCCACATGCTGGTTCAAGAGTCCAGAGAAATGCTTGCTGTCAACTGTGTGCAGAGGACACACATTTTCAAGCTAGCTCTGTGCATAGTTGTGCATGTTTTCTCTTCCTTTGCAGAAGAATGTCCATGAACTCATCCTCATGGAGGGTTTTAAAAAACACCATGGACCGGAACAGTCTCACCAAAATTCCTGTATTGCCATGACCTGGGTAGGCAGCTAATGAGGAAAGCTGATGCTTCCCCAGCTGTGCCGACCCTAACAACAAAATTCCTCTTCTAGTTTAGGATATTAACCAGAGACCCAACACCGTGCCTGGTAATTTGTTTCTAAGTTACAAGGAAGTGCCTGTGGGAAGCAACCTAAATTCAATATTCAACATGTTGAAGAAAGAATTCTAATAAAGGATGGGAATGAGATTTTTCCATCTCTTTATAATCCATAATGGAGGCAGGAGTGTCTCTGAGAGGTGATGAAACACATGGTGGCCGTTTCTGGGCTTGTGATTAGGGCTTCCACTCTACCAGGACAATGTGAAATTTCAGTTGAGAAGTGTTTCTACTCAGCAAAGTACTTACAAAACACACTGATTTCCACAACATTCTTGAAAAGTCAACAGTGATCACCTTCAGCTTTGTTAAAGAAACTGGGGCTTAGGGAGATGAAAAGACCCAGGGAGGGGGGCGGGGCTTGACCTGAAACCAGGTGAATTCCCAGGGGCCTGTCCACTAGCCTTGTTTTGAAAACAAAAGGAGCAAGACTCCAGGGACTTTCTCCTTTCAGGCGGGTTTGCTGAAAACCTCTAGGCTGGGCACCTGGTCTGGAAATGAGTTTTTTTCAGGCTTCTGACCTAGCTAACTAGCGTGTGGGGTTCTGGATGTGACAGATACCCCTGAGATGTCTGTGTGTATACATACATATATACATACAATATATGCATATATAAATATATACACGTGTACAAGCACATATGTATGTATGCATGTATGTAGGTGTGTATGCTCTGGTGTCATCTTCAAAAGAGGAATAGTAACGTTTGTTTCACACCCAGAATTGTGTGAGATTAAATAAAATAGCAGTGTACAGCTAGGCCTGGCGCCTAGAGAAAGTTCCTTACCATTTTTTTCTACCGGGTGCCACGCCCCCCTCCTCTCTTGCGGGTCTTTCTTAATTTTACACTGTAGCATCCGGTGGAACATTACAGATCAACAGTCGTCCCATTCCTCCATTCTATTCATAGGAGGGAGTTTTGGACCAATTTCTGGAATCCTGAGTCCTAGGTAGATCTGAAAGTCAGCTCAAGTTAGTTCTTTCTCCTTGGGCGCCCCTAGTGTGGATTCAGCGGGATATTAGTTTGAGGAAGGATACTTTCACTTTCAAGGATCCTGAAAGAGTTTTCGTTGAAGGATTCAGAAGAGAGGCGTCATCGCCTCTGCCTGCCCCAAGCCCTGACTGAGCCGCTTCCTCCCCTCATTTGAATGCATCGCCACCCTCAGGCACAGAGTGTGGGAATCGCTGCCCGCGGCTGTGTGGGCCGAAGGCCACGCTGGAATCCGCCACCCGCCCGGCGCTGCCCGGTGCAGGATCGGGACTTAAGAGCCAGGCGGTCTCCACGGCGGACCTGGAAAAGGGAGAGGAATTACGAGTGGCTCTGGGTTTGCAGCGAGCACAAAGAGGGGATTATGGTCCTGCTGGTGAAAGGGGGCGAGCTGCTGATAATGCGCCCCTGTAACCTCGCTCATTCCTCTCGTGCCTTTGAAGATTTCTGCGGGGCCAGCACAGGAAAACCACCCGGATCAGGGGACCCGCGTGGAGCTCTTCCCTCCTCCCGCTCACCCGCCTGCGCAGAGCTGCAGGTACTCTGCACCCCAGCACCCAGGCCGTCCCAAACTGATTCAAGAGGAGGATGCTGGGTCCAACCCGTTTTTGTTGTTGTTGTTAATTTTTTTTTTTTGAATGCTTGGGTTGACTGGCAACTCTAAGACACAACAGCCATACCGCTGAATGGTCCATTCAGTGGTTCCCAGTCTTCCTAATGCTGCGACCCTTTAATCCAGTTTGTGCTGACTCCCGAACATGAGATTATCTCCCTTGCTACTTCATAACTGTAATTTTTTCACTGTTAAGAATCATAATGTAAATATCTAGCTTCCCGATAGTCTTAGGCGACCCCTGTGAAAGGGTCGTTTGAACTCTCAGGGGTCTCGATCCATAGGTTGAGAACCATTGGGTTAGAGGCTATTTCTCCAAAGACAGACAGACACAGGCTATGTTAGTCCTTAGTCGGGTGGGATAATGATTTCGCTCTGCTGTGACCTTTGTGGGTGACCTGTTTGAGAAAGAACGCATTTGGTGCCAGGCCTAGTAGGCACATGATCTGTCATTTTACAGGGCTGAGTTGAGAAAATAATTGTAAGTAGTCCTGGGGTTAGAATCCGGGTCTCTGGCTCTTGGTTACACCCGCGAAAGCCAACAGATTTGAAGGTTGCCCACTAGACGCACCTGAGTTCAGCTCCTTTCTTGTTTTCTTTATAGGTCTTGCTGTTGTCTAGGCTCATCTCCAGCTCCTGGGCTCAACTGATCCTCCTGCCTCAGCCTCCTCATTAACTGCGACCCCAGGCAGGAGTCACAGCTCCTTTTGTGCCTCAATATCACCTTTGGCCATTCAGTTGTTGAATGAGATGCTGTCTCCGTGGGAGTGGTTTTGCTGGGCATTTTTATTGTTTGCGTGGGACAGGAAAGTTGTAACTTCCTATTTGCTGCTATATTCCAGTATATGGTAAGTATCTTTGGATGACAGAAAGAGTAGGGCAGAGATGGTAGGCTGTGAACAGCAAGGGGCGGCACAAGGAAGAGACAGGGAATGGTCAAGGGTACTCTGCTGAGGGCTCTGTGTAGAACAGGCTCCCCTGTTTCCACTTACGCTTCAAGCTTATAGGTAAAGGCTAGAGAACTCCTACCTTACCCTAGGGTTCCGACTGTGCACACTTATGTTATTTGCTACAAGGAAACCAGCTGAACTGAACAATAGCCAGGAAGTCATCCTTTAGGTCTCACAGACATGAAACCTATTCTTTAGTGTAGCCAAGCATACAATGCCATTTTGTGGTACCTTCTATCTAACTTGCCTTCCCCTGTTGGTTGACTATTGATAAATCAGCAGGAAACTCAGTTTCAGACTTAGACTTCCTCTTAGCATGAATTCGAATGAGTACTCATCCTTCTAGTTCCAGCTTCTTCATATGGAAAGTGGGGGAAATTCATTGCTCAACCAAGAATGATTGATCCATCAGGTGTAATGCTGCATGCCTTTAATCCCAACACTCAGGAGGCAGAGGCAGGAGGATGGGGGTGAGCTTGTGGCTGGCCTAGGCTCCATATTGAGATTCTGTTTCAAAAACAAAACCTTCAAAGACAGAAATATTGAACACCTGTAACGTGGCGGTTGTTAAGCTAGAGACTGGGAATTTAGAATTCAAGAGGAACTTACAATCAAATGTGGGGAAATAGATACTAAGTGAGAAACAAAGAGAATTCCATGTAATGGAAGTCTCACACTACAAGTCACCAACCAGTCAACGGAGTGGAAAAGGGAGAGAAGACAACAGTTCTCAAGCGAATCTGCACTTGACATGTCGCCCTCCTGTTACTTAGTATCTATATTGATTAGCAGATCAACTGCTGACATAGCGCAGAGCTCGCGTTCAAATAGCCCTAATAAAGTACTCTGGTGCTGTGTCCCAGAGCTCCTGTCCCACATGCCACGTTCTCTCTCAGCAGCACAGGGAGAAGGTTAAGTGCACACAGTACACTAAACTACTTTTTAGATTGAGAAAGAGTGTTCACTCTGCTCTTACTGCAGAATGTTGTGATTGTTCTCTTCTGTTGTTGTCCTTTCACATTTAACAATAATTTGTATAAAAAACAGAACTCTTTGATATTGTAACAAATACTGAAAACACCCAACTTACAAGTAGATTGATTTGGGCTTCCCGTTTCAGAGATTTCAATAAGAGACGCTTCTGGATTCATAGTATGTCAGCGCACCATTTTGATGGGATGTATGGTTGAGATGCTTGCCTCAGTCAGAATATGAAAAAGAGAGGAAGTGAGACTGGGTCCCTGTGTGCCCTTCCGGGGTGCACCTTTAAGGACTTAAGACTTAGTATAGTCCTAAAGTTCTTTCAGCCCTTCCTCTTACAGGTCCTCCCAATGCCATTAGCTCTGTGGACTGTGAAACAACGGTCCACCAAGTGGCCCTTTGGGAACATCCCAGATCCAAATTTTAGCAGGATCTTTTGCAAACCAGAATGTCACAGCTTTTCTCCAGGTAAAGCACTTGGGGAATGACTTGAGTTATTAGCTCAACCAGCTGTTTTGCTTGGTTTTGTTTTTCTTCTTGTAACTCTACTTTAACTTAAAAATGATTGATGGGGAAATCACTGTTAGGAAGACTTGGATAATTTTTTCTCAAAATATATAAAAGTATCGAGCCTGCCATTTTGAGAAAAATAACTGACAATATTTGTTACCAATAATAAAGTTCAAGCTCCCAAGTAAAAGTTAAACTTCTGGGAAACTTCTATCTTCCACTATAACTTGGTATGAGTTCCAGTGCTTTTTTGTTTCTTATTTTTTGATGAGGTCAGTGTTGACATTCATGCATTTGATTTTGACTGGGGGTAATGAGATGTGTCAACATTTGAAAGATCAGCATAACTCAGCAAACTACTGTTTTCTAAATAACCAGTGTGTGTTGCAAAATCAGGAATGGGTGAAAAGGCCACTCCAAGTGTCTGCCTGGCAATATATTTTAATATCATGGGCAGAAAACGTCATAGACTTGATTGATTTTAGATTTCACATTGTCACCAGTGCCTTCAGAAACTTCTATACTAAAGAAGAATATATGTTATTGTCTAGAAAGTCTATTAACATATTACTTGTTTTTCTAACTACGTAAATCTACAAGGTCAGATTTTCTTCAGTGACTTCAACCAAAACAGTGTATTTCAACAGGCTGAATGGTAAAGGGGTTATGGAACCCAGATCCTTTCTCTCAAGCTGAACATTAAAGAGAACTGCAAAACTACAAACCAGTGCCACTTAAATAATCTTTTAGAAAAATGTAGTCTTTTTTTCATAAAAATGCATGACTTATCTCACCTTGCAATGAATTTTATTGTTATTTAAATGAATTAACAAATTAATGCTTTGCATTCTTTATATGGAAATGTTATCAAATATAACCCACAAAAATTTTAAAAAAACAAACAAACTTCTTTTTTAAGTATAAAGGTCTTGAATCAGGTTCTTCAGAATACAAGAACCCTGAAATAGGCTGTTCTCTGGATGTCTCTTTCTGAGGCAATGTCTGTGCTGAGGTCCAGAGGAAGAGTTTGCCATGAAAGAAGAAGGCAAAGGGTTAAAGGTGGGAAAGAGCTTGTGTTTTAGGAAAAGAAAAGCCTGCTACACAGGTTTACAGAGATTATTAACTTAAATGAAAAAATGCACACGCTACTCTTTGGCGCAGTGCCTGGCACATGGTGTGTGATAAACTTGTGCTGAGAATCGGATTCTGTGGAGGTTGTACAGTCATGGCTGGAGGCCTGCAGTGGGACACATACATTTGGGACTCGTCGGCAGATCTCCTAGGCCATTGGGTAATGGACCACATTTCTGTATTCTTCAGGGTTTTTTCCAAAAAATTATGTTTCAAAGAGCCACCTAGAGTTAACTTCTAGGCAAAACAGTTTCCCATGCCAGCTCCAAGTTCTGTCTTCTGTACACTGGTGAGAATAATCTGTGTCCACCATAGGTTTTTATGATAATCTGGGGAAAAAACACGTGAATGCAAGCAGGTCAGCAAATGCACAGAGTGCCCAGAACTGTGCTTGTACTGCCAGAGTGGCTCAATATGCATCTACTCAATGCACTGAGTTCAAGCAAACATACTAACGAGCTGGGTGTGATAGTATAGGTCCACAATCTCAGCACTCAGGAGGCTGAGGCAAGAGGGTCATGAGTTCAAAGAAAGCCTGAGCTACACAGAGAGAGACCTAGTTTCAAACAACAAAGATAAATAGGCTATTGTGTCCTGCTGAGTGAATGAGTTAGAAAACACAACCTCAAGAATCAAGAACCTTTCCAAGACTTCAAGCCTCCAATGTCCAACTCAACATATAATCTTGGACAAAGTTCCTGGGCACTTTGAGTGTTTTTTACTGCTTTCTGGAGCCTACAGGCATACAGGCATGAGAAGAGTCACTGCCCTTTAAGTGCATAAATCTGCTTCTAACAAATTAAGGAAAAATATTTTTTAATTTATGTAGATATGTAATTGTTTATGTATTTGCATATGCATATGGGTGTTCTCAGACCCAGAAGAGGATGTCATATCCCTTAGGGCTAGAGTTATAGGTGGTTGTGAGTTGCCTAGTGTGTTTGCTGAGAGCAGCAGATGCTCTTAACCTCTGAACCATTGTGCCTTCCAAGGGCACACCTCCCATTAGGCTCTGCTTCCCAAGCAGAGAACTAAGTCTTTGATGCATGGGTCTTTGGGGAACCCATGCTTGAAGATCGAGCAGTGAGGATCACAGGGCAGCTGAATCAAATTTTATTGAGGTGAGGTTCAGCCATTATGATTGACATTTTTAAATTTCTTCAGATGATTCCAAGGTCACCCACAGTTGACAACAACTAGCGTACAAGCTTTGTTGCTAGCCTGGACCTAGTCCGTTATTGTATCCAAGCACAATTCTCACCTGTCCCCACCTTTGTTCAGCTTCCCAATCCTTGTTTTCATGAGTCATCTTCTTTCAGAGGTATTTTTACCAAATTTATCAATGCAGCCTTGACTTGTTTTTTATGGTAGGGTTTGGCCATATGACATTGGGCTCTGTAGGGTCAGTGTTAAGATGCATTCTTTCCTTTCCTAATGTAGGTCTCAGTAGCACTGCTCTCAAGCTCTCATGACCACTGCTACTTAAGACACAGAAGGTCATGTTTGTTCCTAGGTTCTCAAGACCAAGCACCCACTGTTCTAACCCCTGAATTTACCGTCACTCCATTGCCTATGCTCATGTTCTACAGCAAAGAATGGTGGTGTATACCTACAGTCCAAGCTTCTCTGGAGGATGAGGTAAGGGGATACTTGAGCCAGGAGTTGAAGGCTGCTCTAGCAACAAAATGAAACTAAATCAATCAATCAATCAATCAATCAATCAATCTGGGGCTGGTAAGATGGCTTAGTGGGCAAAGACACCACTATATCAACATGATTAGTAGGAGCTTACACACACACACACAGAGGATATAATAATAATAACAATAATACTTAAACTGAAATTTGTCTTGATGGCAGTAGATGTGCAGGGACAGAAAGATTCCATTGTTATCCCCCCCCCCCCCCCCCCATTATTTTGCTGGGTACTGAACCCAGGGCCTTTGGTGTGCTATGCATGTCCCTACTTCTGAGCTACATTCCCAAGCCTGGAAACAGGAGGGCTTTTGTTTATTTTACTGGAGCAAAACTGCTCTGAATTGAACTGGTGACATTTGGCGACTGTAACACACAATAACTGGAGACTCCAAGTAAGCAAAATATACACATGGATATGGAAGGAAAAATGATGGATTGGTGTGGGGGGGGAATATGCTCAAAGTACGTTGTAGACATAAGAAGATGTCCTCATGGGACCCTACGATGGACACATGGCTTCCACCTGGGAAGCTGAATTAGAATGGATCTCCTGAGTAAATTGGGGGTGGGGGCAGTAAAGGGGAGGGGAGGGAAGATGAGAACATGAGGAAATGAAATGGTGGGGGGCAGGCAGAGAGGGAGAACAATGAAAGAGAGAGAGAGCCACTATGGGGTTAGGGAGAAACCTGGGGCTAGGGAAATTCCCAAGAATCCACAAGGAGGACCCCAGCTGACTCTTAGCAATAGTGGACAGGATGCCTGAACTGACCTTCCCCTATAATCAGATTTTGGAATGCCCCAACTATCATCATAGAGCCTTCAACCAGAAACTGATTGAACCAGGGGCAGAGATCCACAACCAAGAACCAGTCCAAGATCCCGGAATCCAATCTGAAGAGAGGGAGGAGGGAACATATGAGCAAGGGAGGTCAAGACCATGATGGAGAAATCTACAGAAACAGCTGAACCAAGCTCATGGAAACTCAAAAACTATAGACTGCCAGCTGTGGAGCCTCCATGGGACTGAACCAGGCCCTCTGTATGTGGGAGACAGTTGTGAAACTTGGACTATCTGAGAGGCTCCTGGCAGTAGCACCAGGATCTGTCCCTGGTACATGAGCTAGCTTTTTTGGAGCCCATTCCCTATGGTAGGATGCCATGCTCAGGCTTAATGCATGGGAGAGGGGCTTGGTCCTGCTCCATCTTAGTGTGCCAGACTTTGTCGAATCCTCATGGAAGCCCTTATCCTTTGGGAGGAGTGAAAGCAGGGTGGGCTGGGGGGATGGGAGCACGGGGGGGGGGGGGGGGTAGGGGTGAGAGGGAGAACTGTGGCTGGAATATAAAATGGAATTTAAATAAATAAATAGATAGATAATTCCCTCATGAATCCTATCCAATGTACAATGGACATGTATCAATAAAATATCTCTAAGATGGACAGTCAGGGCCTCTGGACTCTTACAGCAGCATTCTGTCTCCCTGATTGTTCCAGCACTTTCTACCATTCTTTCCCCATGAATAAAACTGTTGAAGCCCCTTACCTTTGTCTTTGTCTTCTCCAGGTAGGCAGATCCAGCAGGCACAGAGTGATGGGCAACTTAGTGTATATTTGACTGAGTGTAAAAGGGAACACACAATTTTGTGGTCAGTTTATTTTTGCCTCTTCATTCTCAGGGGTCCACGGCTTTTGCCTCATTGATTTTCTGTGCGCATTGACGTGAAGGCTGCTGTTTGCATGGACTTGCTTCATGTCCTCTCCAGGCATCTTCTCATTGTTTTGGCAACTCTCTGCTTTCAGCTTGAATGAGTTCAAGCTCGTTCCAATGGCATACCTCCTCAGCATAACACTTGTCCTTTCAGTAGATGTGTTGTAAAGTCTACAGTCTTCTGCTATCAGTAGTGAAATCTGAAAGGGTCTTGCAGGCCAGTCTAGTCTAGCTCCTCTGCTAAACACGTAGACACCAAAGGCTAGTGAGGCCAAAGACTTTTCCTAAGGTCACGTCACACAGCTAGAATAAACAGCAGAGGCAGACAAGAAAGGAAGGAAGGAGAGAGGGGAGGGGATGAAGAGAGAATAGAAGAGAAAAGGGAGGGAGAGGAAAAGGGGGAAAGAGGAGAGAGATAAACTGTATCAGTTAGGATGATTTTGGCTCAAGTAACAACATTCAATCCAAAGCTGCTTAAAAAAAATCATGGAATGTATTATTATATCACACACCAGGAAGTCCCGAGTCAAGCAGCTTTCTAGTATACAATGGTTAGGGGTCGACTCCATTTGTCCAGGGCTCCTGGACATGTCAGCACTCTGCACATGGCTCTGAGATAGCCACCCACAGCAGCAACTGGAACATGCTTCTTTGGTTACATGGATAGAGAGCAGAGAGGGCCTAGACTGATGGGGCCAACTTAGATCCAATGCATAGCCCAAACTAATAACAGAGCCTAAAACGGGCTCTGTTCCAAAGCCAATCCTTAGCAGACAGTGTGATCCGTAGAGAACTGACATTACTTACCTCTAGAGATGGGGAAGGGGTCAATTCCCCATGTGTCACCTGAGTTTAGTGGGGGAAGAGGCTGGCCAGGATTTCCCTGGGAAGAAAGAAGGGGTGAGTGGGGTCACGCCATCCCAGGGACCATTGGCACAAAACCACATGCAGAAGAGAGCAGATGACATGCTGTTATTTCTGCTTGCCAGGGCATGGTGACCTGTGGGGTTAACAACATGTGCTGAACTTGGCCTATGTTGTGGAGTGAGGAGGTGAAGAGGGGGAGGAAACTGGTCCAGCCTTTCCAGCCTGCGGAAATTCTACATCACACTGAGTGGCCAGGACAGAGGAAAGACATAGGAGCTCCTAGATCTGACTTCTATGCCTGAGGCATGTGCTTGGTGGAAACTAGTTTGAGTAAGAACCATTGCTACCTTGAAGGACTTTCTTGGGCTACCACAGACCTGAAGGAAGATTAAAGACTTCACCTGATAATTCTTCCTTTAAATTAACCAAAATCCTCTCCTGCCAAGAATCTGTCTTTCTTAGGGAGAAATTGGCAAAATGTGCCACCCATTAGAGTCGTGATAAGATTCCCAGTCTACCACGTGCTTTCTTGGGTTGTGCCTTTCCTTTTCATTCTGAAGATTTTATTATGTTGATCCTACCAATCCAAGAGCATGGAAGATCTTTCCATTTTCTGGTATCCTCTTTGATTTCTTTCTTTAAAGACACAAGATTTTATTTATTGCCTTGAATGAAGGTTAGTCTCGGGGCAGAGGTGTCCACCCCCACCAACCGCCCCATCCTCCCACAGCTACGAGGTGTTGTTTTGACTTTAGCTTATTACTGGAACTTTGTACTATTCTGAACACTACTGCTCTGTGTTTGTACTGCACTGCATTGTCCTGGTCTTCTCCCCCTGCTTCACTGGGTGAGTCTGGTGGGGAATGCTTTGAGGTTCATGGAGAGCATTTTGGAGAAACATGTAGTTAGATAACATCCCCAGTCTCGGGGATCCTTTTAAAAGCACTGCCATCTCCACATTAATCATGCTGTTTCTGAGGCACAGACAAAGGCTTCACAGCTTTTCTGCCGGGCCCAGGGAGGGGCTGTTTCTAGGAGCGCTCCTCCAGTCTGGAGAGGCAGCTTCGGGCTGAGTTGTGGGGGCGGTGTGGAAAAGCTTTTGGCTCCTGCATTACAATAAGGATTTGAATCAAGAGAGCCCACAAAGATTCTGCCCATAAAGCTGTTCCACTCTCGGTTTCTTTTTTAGGAAGTGAGGCCCCAAGTATTAATGTTTTACCCCACAGAATGCGTTTTGCAAGTGGAGTATACAGAGAGGGAGACTTGGAAACTTCTCTTCCTCCCTCAACACATAACTCACTTAAGTTCTCAGGGTCTCGAGGAGTGCGTGCTGAGTCCCTGTGATATTGTCTTCTTTTTAATTTTTACAAATGTTTTAACTCCTGTGTGCCTGTGTTTGCATACACGTGCGTGCACACTCACACGAGTGGCTGCATGGGTGCATACACGTGTTTGCACACTCACACGAGTGCCTGCATGGGGGCAGGGGCAGAAGGACAGCAGAGGTGTAGCAGCATCTTCCTGAAGCTGGAGATGAGGTGGTTGTGAGCTGCCCAATGTGGATGTTGGGAACAGAACTCTGGTCGTCTGGAAAAACCAGTAAGTACTCTTCACTGGTGGGCCACCTCTCTCCAGCTCTGCCCTGTTGCATGATGCTGCTTGAGGGACTGGAACATTCCACCATTTTCTTACGCTGGCAGGGAGAATTTGCTAACTTCCGTTGCCCCTGTTAGCCTCTTTCTGACTGATATGCTGTCTTCTCAGCTTCCTCCGTCTAGTCCCGGGTCCTAGAATCAGTCCTGATGATGAAAACATGTCTGTAGACTCAATTGTATCAAATGAATGAAGTCAAAAGCCTCTATAGACTCAAGACACCACACAGTGCCATGTCTGTAACTTTTCAGCACCCAGGGTCCTTTGTTGTCCTACAACTCCACAATGACCCCCCCCCCTGATTTCCTACGTGCCCTCCTACATCCTGAGCCATACCCTGTGTCTCTCCATCCACCAATAACCACTGGCCTGTTCTGCCACCTCAACTAAGCCATGTCCCACCCTGAGCTCCAGCCTGCTGGATAGATAGGTTTCTTCACAATACTGTGGTGATGTCTGCTGGCCTTGTCCCTTGGGACTCACTCATGAGTGTCCTTGAAGATATGCCTGGGTTTGTCACCATATTCATGGATTTCTGCATCCTGCCTGAAAGGCTAGGCCTGTCGATACAGTATCTTAAGCCAATGATTAAAATATGAGGGCTGTCAGCACCTGGCCAGGGATGGTATGTTGCAAGGAATCCAGTTATCACACCAAGTCTTGTCTGGGGACCCAATGTAGAATGCTTTATATAAGCATTCTCATTATGTTTTGAGAATGTGTGTAGATGCTTCTGTATCTAATTTAATTAGAGAGGGCTCTATTTAAAAGGATGACTGAATTCATGACAGCTTTTTGTCACTTGGAGTTTTCTCCATTGATCAGTGGATACCAAAAATACAAGCAGAGTATAAGACGACGTGGAAGCCTGGGCCGGGCTGCATTTGTAGTCGTTTCCCACTTGCCACCCGAGTTGCTGACTTCCTTGGGTTGCAGTGCTCTGCCTGCAGTGCAGAGTTCCTAGGAAACAGTTTATTCTGGAGCCATGAGACGGCTCAGTGGGTGAAAGTGCTTGTCATGCAAACCTGACGCCTGCATTCAATCTCCAAATCTCACAGCAGAAGGAGACAAGCGGCTCTGAGTTCCACACGCATGCCATGGCAGCACACCCATGCCTCCATGCCCCCAACCCCCGTGCCCCACGCATGCACACAGTTCTTTCTACATTAAATGCAAATCTTGCTGGAAAATTTCCTGCCAGTTACAATTGGCAGGGGTGTCAGGGTGAAACCCTGCTGAGCAACTGCCACAGCTACCTCAAAGCAAGTCAGTTACATAGCTGACCTGTCCCAAGTAGCATGTCCCAGCCATCTCCCGATGAGATCTCCAGGGAGGGACAAAAGCCCCGTCCTTGAGTTGCTATTGGCTAGAAATATCTCTCCATATCCTGATGGCCCTCAAGGCTGTTGCAGAGGAGAGAATGGAGCAAAGGGAAGAATCTCAGAAACTTCCATTAGTACCAGAACCCCGAAGGTCTCCCCACTTCTTCCTGCAGGCCCTGAGAAGCTGTTGAAGGGGACTGTCTTCCTGCTTTGGCTACCCAATGAGAATGGGGGGCATTTATACAAATGGAGAGCCTGTGTCTGAGAACCAAATATCATAGGAAAATAAGTGCCACAGAAAACTTGGTAAGACCATTTCATTGGCACTGGTGAGTTGCTTGGCTGGTCTGTGCTGGCTCACAAATCAAGTACCTGGGAACTAGCCTGCTGGGGAAGTCATAGGCAGCAGACAACACGGAACCTTGGGGTGTCACGTGTCCCCTGTGTGCTTGAGGAGGAAACTTCTGAGTTCAGAGACTGCTGTCATAACTAGGTCTCCTGCTCCCGCCTGCTAGAAGTGTTTGACCACAGCCCAAGGGCCCTGTGCCTTCCCGTGCCCTGTGGGAACAGCCAGAAAAAAAAAAAAAGAAATGATGCCAGTTGTTGTCATGTCAATGACAATCCTCCCCTAGATATCCATGGAGAGGCTTAACCAGAGTTAGGGGCCGTGTTTTGTGCTATGAATTCCTCCTGTGCAGTAAAGACGGTCATGGCA